GCCGACGACGGGTTCGCCCCTCCGCCGTACCAGTACATCGAGAAGCATTGCGCGTGCGAGGCAGGGAAGTGGCGGGCCCCTGCGCGGAGGAGCGGGAGATCCTCATGGGCTTCCCACGCGGGCGCACCCAGGTCGCGGTCCCGTCGGGCGTGCTCAAAGACGACCCGCAGCATGTGGAATCAGTCCGCTGCAGCCTCCTCGGCAATGCTTTTCACTTTGAGGTGGTGGCGTGGCTGCTGGCACACTTCGCAGTCAAGTGGAAGTTTTTGGCGAGTGTGCCTTCGGTCGACCTCCTGAGCGAGTCGGCCCGCCCCATTGCCGCTAGCGCATTTTGCAGCTCACGCGGCTTTGCTCCGGAGCAAGCCCTGGTGCTGGACGTGATGAGGGCGACGTCAACGAAGGGCTCCGACGTGAGGATCTCGACAGGAGAGCTGTTCTCACCGTCGGGGTGGCCCTGACTGCCGATCCCCGCCAACCTGTGGCGCTGGTCAGTGGTCCTGCAGATCAGCTGGCAGCAGACGGCCCACATCAATGAACTGGAGATGAGGGCCTACCTCTCGGCGATCCGGTGGCGTCTGCGAGCGGAGAAGAACTTGCAGACCAAATTTCTCCACCTGCTGGATAGCCAGGTTTCGATCGCTGTCCTCACCAAGCACAGATCGGGGTCCCGCCAGTTGAATCGCATAGCTCGCAAGGTCAGCGCCTTTGAGTTGGCCTCAGGCATCGTGGCCGTCCTGGGCTTCTGCCGCAGTGGAGACAACCTTGCGGGCGCGCCCAGCAGGAAGCGCACGCGCCATGGTTAGACGCCTGCGCGCAGAAGCAGATCGTGCGAGCAGAGCCGAAGCCAGGAGGACGCTGGGGCCCTTGCGACTTCAACGAGTGGCGCCCCCGACGCGACTTCGTGATTTCCGTGCTGCATCCATGTTTGTCGAGTTTCAGCTGGACCAGGGCTGGCCGCAGGCCGTGGGCGCCGCAGACATGGACCAGCAGATCTGCACGCTCATTGAGCATCTGGATTGATGGCGATCGCAATCTGGCAGGAGACACCTTGAGTGTAATTCAGTTTTACTTGGGCAGGCGGCGTGTGTTCCCCATGTCCTGGGACCTGTGGCGGACATGGGGAAGGATGGAGATGCCGTGCAGGGCGCCGCCGATGTCCGTCGCCATGCTGTGCGGCATCGCCCATGTTATGTGGATGCTCGGGCGGCAGGATGCGGCGGTGCTCGTCCTGGTCGCTTTCCATTGCTTGCTGCGGACAGGGGAGCTGATGACCATCCGCGCCGAGCACGTGATGATCAGCGTCACCCGCGCTGGCCTCGTCGCCCTGCCCTGGGCCCAGAGCGGGGCCAGGGGGGGCGCAGGAGCCGGTGACCGTCGACGACCCCGTCGTCGGCCGGGCCCTGGCCCGTCTCCGCCAGCAGCGGGGCGCGGGGCCACTGCTGCAGGGCTCGGGCGCGCAATTCCGCGTGCTCTTCGAGCGGGCCTGCGGCGAGGCTGGCCTCGGGTGGCTGGGGCTGAAGCCCTACAGCCTGCGGCGCGGCGGCGCGGCGCGCGACGTGTGTGCCCGCGGCGACCTGGGCCGCGCGGTGCACCGCGGGCGCTAGTCCGACCTGCGCGCGGCGCAGATCTACATCAACGACGGGCTCGCGGCGCTGGCCCAGCAGCAGGTGCCATCCGCCGCGGCCCGAGATGTCGCCGCGCGGGCTGCCGCCCTCGCGCGGCTGCTCGCGTCCCTATGAAATACAGGGGCGCCTCTCCTGAGCGTAAGACCGAGCGCCAAGGAGGGCGGCGCGAAGGAAGTTAGCGGTGCCCCTCGCGGGGTGGCGGCCCTGCCGTCCGCTGCTTCCTGAGTGAGTGCCGCCCGCCCTTGGCGCTCGGTCTCGGTCGCTCCTGCTGCGCACTCTGGGCTCCTCCTTTGTGCAGGGTAAAGGGGGGCCCGATTGCCCTCCCGGGTTCGGGTCGGTGGGGCACCCCCTCTGGCGCGGCCCCGTGCTGCTCCGGCGCCTCGCCGAGCCGACCTGGAGGGCAGCCAGGCCGCCGCGTTACCTTGCGCAAATGGGAAATCCAAGTTCGCCCTCTTCTCACCTGCTCCCCCCCTCCTAGCCTCTAAGAAGCCTCTCCTGCCACGGGTTGCGGCTGGTCCCCCTTGGGGGGTGGCCGAGCGCTCCAGGGGGGGGTCGGGGTCGGACGCCTTCGACCGCCTCCGCCGCCCCCCCGTGTGCAGTCGAGGTTCTTACTTAGGGTGGGTTTTCGGAGTAGTTTCCAACCGTCCTGTGGTGCTGGGTCCTCGTTTTGAAGAGACGTCGCCCCGCGTTCCTCCTTCCTCCTCCTTCCTCCTCCTCCCCTTCCTCCCCCCTCCTCCCCCCCCCGCGCCCATTCTGGCACACCCCTCGCACGTTTCGTGGCCCCATAGGGAGCTCCACCGAAGGCCCCAGTGGCTGCGCCCGCATGCGGTTCCACCCCCCATTCTGGCACACCCCTCACACGCTTCGTGGCCCCATAGGGAGCTCCACCGAAGGCCCCAGTGGCTGCGCCCGCATGCGGTTCCACCCCCCATTCTGGCACACCCCTCACACGTTTCGTGGCCCCATAGGGAGCTCCACCGAAGGCCCCAGTGGCTGCGCCCGCATGCGGTTCCACCCCCCATTCTGGC